AACTGTGCGTTAAGGAGAATATCTGAAGGAACATGCTGAACCAGCTGACGTCGTCACACGTTACCTCATCGTGACAGCCCTAGTTGCGACGACCGATGAAAAGTGGTACCCTGCAAACGCCTGTTTACGGTTCAATTTAGAGTTCAGGAATCGGATAGTAACTACTTCAGAACCCTAGCATATTCTTCCACCTAGCCATCGTCGTTCATTGGAAGCAGAATTCGAGAACGCACGACATTAAGGAATGCTGTGTGACATACGTACAGAGCGCATCCTGGTTCATAAACCTGAAGCGAATAGGGCGCACAGAGCAACCATTCCAGTTCCCTTGTCCGTGGCCTGGTTGTTTACGAAAGAACATTTTCTATATTAGTCCAGTTAAACCCCGACTCGGAGTGTCCGGATCCTGCTACGTTGTGGGGAGGAACTGAACTCTACGTAACACAGCGCACGCAATAGCGTTTGTAGTTGCATTTTTGCGGAGATACTTGACGTGCCCATAAAACCTCCCTTTTCAGATTTTGCGTACTGCTTCTGACGAGGATTGACCTGGAGGGATTTCGATGATCATTCCACCATCTGGTCCAGTACAATTTGTTCAACTGTTAGATGATCCACATGCAGCATCTGCCAAACAGCGTATATAAGCTTTGAGTAGACGTTCTGCATACCGCCACCTAGGAACGCGACATTGAGGTATTAATTCAGGCTGATCTGTGCTGCTTAGACCAATCTACGAAGACGCTTACGACCGGGAATTAACATCTTGGTTTGCTGCAAAAGGCATTCCGGTGCTTTTACTATATGTTTGCACGCATATGCGTAACACACACGTGCTGTCGCAGGCGGAATGCGCTAACCAGGTCTGGCAGACCTGGCACAAGAAACATCTCGCAGCGCTCGAGACTGCACAACGAAGAGTCACGAAACATGTCAAAGAGTTGTTCCACCTTGTGTAACAACTTGGGCTGCGAACGTTACGAATGCAAAGCGGTCAGTATGGACGCTTCCCAGGTGACCAAATAATGCACTATCAAATGCTGAAGAGCCCCACCACGCACCTCACCCACAGCGACGAAGTTGCAACACAAACTGGAGAGACCACCAGTTCAAACCGGTCACTCAATGTGGTCAGTTAGAAATTCGCCGAAACTTATGGTCTCTTCGTACTTGTTAGGTTGTTTCCGCCCCTACATTTCCAGTATTTTTAAAACATCTCGAAGATGCTTTAACCTATCATCTACCTGACGAAATGAAGTCTATGTACATCGGGAGACCGTACATGATGAGAAACGATGGACGAACCAGTTCTACTGTACAAAATGGGAAGAATATATTTTACGCATGCAGTGTAAATATGTGAGTCCAACGTAATGTTTTTCATTTTAAAGCCATACTTTCCTTTCTGCAGCTTTGTGCTTCTCATGCTGATTATCTCATGGAGATAGCTAAGTACTTGCTTTGTGATGCGCGGTACGCCATTCTGCCATGTTTAGTAATGAAGATTCATTCGGAAAGCGTTTAACACTTTTGCTCATTGAAGTTATGAACCGGGTTTAATACTCTCCGAGGAGCGTCAGTGGGGTGTGTTGGCCTGCTGAAATCATTTTGCGCTTTCACATCTGCCTGTTTTCTTTTTTTGACTTTGCACACATCTGTCCCGTTGCTCATCTCTCCCTATTTCAGCTACCCTTCTCTTAATGCATTTTCGCGCATAAGCTTTTCCTTCGGTCACTTCAGTACAAAGGTTTACATGGCCTAATAAAAAGGCCAGTGTGTCCTCCCTTGCTAAACCTGGCCTTCGCGATCTGTTTGTGCATTCACAAATACGGTGCTTTTTACTATCATTTTGTGCCTTGTGAATACCTAGTTATTTCTATACTGAATCCAACGAAGGTCGAGCTAGAACGAACGCAAAATTGGAAGCTAGGAAGCTAACAAAAACTGAGTTTTTCGAATTTCGCGAAAAGGGAAGCAAGGATTGCCAACATGAATGGTGGGTTCGCCATTCTAAAGGATTCTCTTTTGTTTCTGCTGCAAACTGTTTCTAACGGGACAGTCAAGTTTTTCGACGGATTGGCTTTTACTAGTTGGTGGAAATCAACTTCAAATGTGTTTGAACACAAATCGAGTGGATCATTTGTGCAGGCAATTCTCAAATGGAAGGAGCTAGAGATCCCTCTAGTTGAGGGAAAGGCAAATGACAAAATGGGGCAAGCGTTAGGGAAAAGGAAACGAATGGTTGACGGGAAACGCTAGCTAGGTTACTGGATAACAGATTCCAGCCAAGCAGAATATGCCACTGCGTGCTCAACGAACGCATCCAAGACGACAAAAGCGGCTAGAAAAATAGTGGAAATATTAGGATTGATAGATTTGTTGGCTATGAACCTGTTCGTCGGGAACATTCAGTGACTGTTCAGCTGGGCAAGCAAATCAGTACTGCTTATTTGTTTCCATAAGTTTAAAATGCATTTGTAGGCACTTTGGAAAATAATGTGAGAAAGCAATTCCTAGATCAGATCAAGGAGAGTAACTATTTATGCTTCATTTTTGATAGCCTACCCGAAGTATCGAACAAAATTCAGATGAATGAAGTCGTGCTCTAAGTGAAAATGGATGAAAATGAAGTGAAAGTTGAAAAATCGTTTCACCACTTCATTGCAATCAACAACATAACCGTAGAAGAGGCTTTCTGGACTGATTTTGAGAGAAATGGAGAAGGATGGAATTCAGATCGACGAAATTTATGCCATGCATAAGCCGCTCCCTGAATCTGGCTTGTGTACAGAAATCTTCTGCTGCGGTTCACCCTGTTACCTTTTTTGGTACAGTAGACCGGTTATTCTCGCTCTTTTCTATGTCCACATATTGCTGGAACATCTCGATTCATGTTGCTGGTCTAATTATCAAGCGGGTTGTGGAAACTAGATGTAGTTGTCGAGCACACGATGTGGTTGTGGTGAAGAAATACTTGGAAATCCTCATTGTTCTGCAACATTTCACAGAAGGAAGAGAAAACGATACTACAATATCACATGCATCGTTAAGATGCATTTGGGGGTCTGTTCTGCCAGAAATAAATTATGCACAGGAATATCTTCAGACAAACGCGCTGGAGTTGCAATAAAGTTCTGTCAGGCTCACAACGTTAGGAGTTTGCCTTCTTCAGAATAGAGAGAAAATGAAGAATAATGCATCTGATGAGTTGAAACTCCTAATTAGGGATAAGTGTGGAGCGTCGAATCCACCAAAAGAAACGAATGGACGGTTGAGAAATAATTGATATATAGAGGATTTAATGCCAAATTGATACGGTAAATGCTGACTGTCATAGACAGGTTGGCTGATGGAATATGTCACAGATGTAAGCAAAGATTATGACCTTGCAAATAAACGCCTGGCTTTCGTCGTCAAATCTCTTTGGTGATAACTATGAGTGTCAGCTTAACAGTTAAAGCAAATGTAGAAAAAGTGCGTGGACGGTTGGAGAGTGCAGTGTTTTGTGAAGTCCTCAGAAAACTACAACATCAGTGGACCGTTTGAACTTTGAGATTCGTACGGAAATATTACCTTGGGGAATCAGCACCAAATATTGTGAACTTGCTATACAACTTTCTTACCCGAACCTCTAGCACTGATACCTGTGAGCGCTCTTGCTCAAAACTGAAGATTAGAAAGAACTACCTATGTTTAGCAATAAACCAGACAAGACAAGGACTTGACATTTCTCCCCATAGAAAGTAAACTTGTCCACAGGCTGAATTTCATAGTATTATCTAAACATTTTGCCCAGTTAGGAGCGGTGTTTTGCAACTTTTGCACGCGAGTATTGTAACCTTGCAAATGCGCGCGCTTCCAGTAGTACTCTAAAATTAAATGTTTGACTGTTATTCTTTGAGATGAAATGTTGGAAGGCTGTTCGCGGTTCTATGGGTTTATGGACTTATAACCGCAAAAAGGCGAGTCTTCTGACTGCCCCGGGTGGTGACAGCAGTTGCTACGCCACTGGGTACCTGTGTGGAAATAGTTTACAGGGCAACCGAGCACCTTAAATTGAATTTAATGTTGTCGTCGACACTACTGTGGAGAAAAGCTCACTTATGAATACATTGTAGCATTCTACTGATGGTCTCTAAACATAGCTTGGTAAATAACATTATTCACACATGTCGAAATCAGCGGGGCCGCACATACGCAGCTGAAATTCAGAGACCGGTCCCAGTCTTAACTGAAACCGACCGTGTGTCTAAAACCAGTAACCCACTTGGCATTTGTTGGCATTTTTATGTGACTAGATGTAAACCACAGATTTTCTAGGCCTAGCGATTGAAGATATAGGTAGTTAGCTGGTATACATTGCTTGTGTATGATCGGTTAAAAGTACAAAAGTTCGGCACTTACGTCTTGTTGGGTAAACATGGATCTTACGAGTCACATTGGTTAATATTAGGAAGAAAGAGAGGCATGTCGGTGATCGCTTTCACCTAAGTGACTCTCCAAGCTGAGGGGAAAAAGGGTTTTCCGAACGGCAAACAAATGACCCATAATTGAATGAAACTCCTAGATAGCTTATCCGAAATTAACTCAGTACATTATCATCAACTTAAGTGAGATGACCGACGGGCACCTGCCGCTGCACATTCTCACTATTGCCTGAAACGATGAATTCACGAAAAGAAAATCCAACTAACTCCCTTGCAGTGCATGTGAATAAGAGGTAGGTTGGCCTATCGTAAACAATTCACGGAAGCAGTAAAGCATTGAGAAATCTGAGTCCCGAACGTCAATTGGCCTTACGTCTACTGAACTAAGCGTCGTTACGGTCATGTGCCCTGCTGTTCGACGACAATGGCGCTATTTGTGTCACGCACAACATAGCAGTATGGCACACGCATACGTCCTTTTGGTGCGGTGTCAATGGCATGGTGTGGGGCTTAGAGACTAGGACACATGTGCCAAACCAATGAGAAAAACCACGCTATCTATTGGCTCGTGGGATGACACAGCCACTTTACCCTTCAGGTCATCGCATTCCTACCCTATTTAAGCAGTGGCCAGGTCATGGACGCGTGAGAGGAGCGGCGATGGTGTGAGCCGGGAGAAGGTTTGTCTCCGTGCTGGTTGTTTTAGCCGCATTCGATGTAAGCTGTGTTACATACGTTTTACCTTTAAACGCTTGATTCCTACTGCTATGCATTGTGTATTCGCGTGCTTGTGCTCACCAGAAATTCGGTACGCCTTGTGAATGATGTCGATTCGGTAGCCCTGAAGTGAACCGGTCACCGGGTAGACATTCATTCACTTGTCGTTATATCGCAGACATCGAATTATGTGGGGCGATGAATATTGATAACCGAAATCGCCTTACCATCACTCACTAGTTCATCATTTTCCTTACAGTGCAAAGAATGGGATCGAAGTAAATGACGGCCGGTGAGCGTAGAATATGGAGGAACACAGTGGCTCACTCCGACAGTTTGGAGGAGCTACCGGGCGGCTATCTTTTATGCACCATTTCTCCGAACCCAAGAACAAAGTGGAACAATTTTTCTGCGATGCAGGTTTACTCACGGAATTTGTACTATGGTCAGAACATGGAGACGGACGTCGATTCTCACATTGATGCGTTCACTTAGGTTTGCTGCTCACCCTAACGGCTTTTGTGTCAGCTTACATGGTTTGTTAACTCGTTCTGCAGTATTTAGCAGCCGTTACCGCTAGGTTTTTGTCTGTTCCAAGCTGGTATGTGACCTCTGTACTTAGCTTCCGTTGTATGCGTCTGTGCCAACTCTTCGGTCTTTCGTCAAACCCCTTCTATGTCTTACACAACTTGTCCATACGCAATCATTTGAATTTTGTAGGCCAATACGCCGCACACATTCTGCTTTTTTTCAATTTTACTTTTTATGCTAATGTAAATAAACTCTATCATAACCAACTGTCAGTATATTGGCTTTTTCCTGTTACCGAAGTAGGTAATTACGAAAACATCTATTGCACGGCGGTGAAAGTAGACATATTTTTGACCGAACGTAGTGATTCGAGGCAGCATTAGACGAGTTGCTAACAACACTGATATGGGACCCGGAAGAATTGAGTGTGAAAACAAGTGAGGATGCTTGCATTTAATCGAACGGAAATCGTTTGCGAGCTTAGAACACAACCGATTTTCCGTGAACCCTGACAGGCGTTCCAAACGCCTTGTCGTTTTCTAGTGCACCACTCCAATATCCTGAAACGAGAACTCGAGTGGTCGTGACCCAAAAATGGACATCAACAGATCATTGGCTGAACAATCGTATACTCAGTATCCAATATGGAGACAATGGGGTAAATAAGTTGGCTGGCTGGTCGGAATTTCAATGGACACGCGCTAGTAAATGGCAATGAATTGGGGCGTTGCGATGTATGCTATTGTTTCGATCAGAAACGTTACCACGGCTCCGATGTTGTGAAAGTAAGTCGAGCTAGAAATGAAGGAATCTTTTCAGATTTATTCGTCAAAATGCAGTTTAACGTAAATCTGGTAGCTTGAAAGCATCGTTTTCTGGCAAACGCATGCTACAGCGGTCCTTAAAGGTGTCCGTTGGTTCTGGTCATCTGGTCTCAAGGTAGAAACAGTGATAACAAACAGTATCAGCAGACCACTGTGACGCGTCCAAGTGTTGTGCTAAGTATTCCAGGGCGGAATACGATTCTTGATTTTCCTCTTCGTGTGAGTATGCTCAGCCACTAAGTACCAGTTCACTCAGAATGACCGTGAGTGTGTTACTCTACAATATTCACAGTAAGACTGGCACCACAGTTGTAAACCCTTGGAACGAATAGGCTCTGGAGGTATGTAAGCTGCGGCCGAGATGGTTTCAGATTCAGCTCACACCGCTATGGCAGGTATGTAATGAACGGACAGAGGAATCTGTGAATCCGTGTCATACAGATGGACAGAGACCGTAGACGAACTGATGCACATTTTATGAGCCTTCAACCGGTAGATGCCAGTAGGTTAGTTGACATTTTAGTAGACTTGACAACTGGGCATACACAATGCAGTGGCACGTCCGCCGCATGTTCCAGAATACAGCCATTCGTGTAGCCCAGGACTGTCATCGTACGTCCCACTCTATCAGTGTCTATTAGAAAACTAGAGACAAACATGTACTTACAGCCACTCAAAAGTCGCATAAAAAAGTGCTTGCTAGGTGAGTTGGAGCCTCGGCAATATTATCATTCTGCACGGATATACCCGTCAAAGACGCAAGCAAAAACATGATTTCGGAAACCCTGATTCAAACCGAATACGATGACGTGGTACCACTTGTAACCCAACGTAATACCGACATGGATCAGCGAATACGAGCGCAGGCATTTTCTCTAATCCATACTCATGCCCAAACAATAGGCACCGCTTCGGTATTGGCCTATCCTGACCACTTGAGTGAGCAGACAATCCGGCTAGATTGGCTGTGTTTGAGGATGACGAGCTGTTTTCCATCTGCATATGTTGTCTGCGTGTCGGGCAGTTTTATGTCCATGCACCCATTCACCTACTCTATTTGGTGATCAAGCAATAGACGGTGAATGGCTACCGTATATCTCCAGTGTTTGAAAACAACATTACTTAGCGAAATGCTCACATTGATCACGGCCTGCTATCACAGCAACTGTTGCTGTATTTTCTTATTAGTTGCGCGCAGTCAGTTACACTTCACGCACTCTGGTATACGGAACATCCGTTCGATGGTCACGATCTGCAAAAATTATAGTGGTGAAGCCGGAGCAAATAATCGACTCCACCGGTGCTGCTCAGTTGTCACATGTTCATTGTGCGACATTCTGTTTTCCTCAACAGATATACTAAATCCACTGCGTTTATCCTGCTGAAAATGTTCCGAATGAAGGATGCCATTTATCTGATCCATCTTGTTCACCAGTAACACTGTAATCCATCGCCGATTTCGTTCATGTTTGGTCCATCATGGATGGAAGTGGAATCCGAGATGTATTGGTTGGCGGCTGATGCCTAAATCGCTAGGCCACTCAACTAATCTCCGTAGACTCCAACCACTACGTCCCGGGATCCATTCAAAGTTTTGGCTAAGTCTACGTGACGAGTTCATACGTGAATGCAACCAGTCATGGAGTGCGGTGTTTGGAGAGAGAAGCCCAAAACCTCTCCACATTGGATTATGTCCCACTGATTGAATTGACCGAGGTCTAGTTCATTATGAACCGAGATCCTAACAGAAATTGAATGTCACAACCAGATTACATGGTGGGTATTCTAATATCTAAAATTGGCAGTTCTCTTCTACCATCCATGGGAATCACTGAGCTGTGCGTAATCACCTAGAACTCTACTTATTCACTACTCCCTCGAATTCGACTGGTCGCAACCTATATCCGCTCATGATATACCGAAAGCCAGCTCGCGAGTTATCTTCAAATTCCTCTAAAGCATACCATTCGGGTGGCCGAAGGTAGAACTTGTGGGTAGCGGCACTTTCTCGAGCGGAATTTATGGTGAACACACGGAGTCCCATGTTGATAGGCGTAAATCAATGTTTAGGGCATTATCTATGAACGTAGCACCAACTAGACCGTGACGTCGCATAGTTTTCCGGATTAACCTCGATACATTCAAACGACATCTGGTTGCCTCTCTCGCACATTAAGCTGCTCACTCCGAAGTGATGAATGTTCGAAACCCCTATTCATGCATTAGGGAAGTGGAAGGCGTCTCAAAAGTAGCGAACGTAGGGGACAACACGATAGCTGGATATGTGTTGAGAAAGTAAAGATAACCATGCAACCGCATTACCATTGAAGTCATCCAAGATTTTACCATGCAGCTGCGCAGCAGCTTACATACTACAAGGTAGGCATTTAATTAACCTGCCACACATAGAGTATTTTCTCATAATGCTCAAAACCAGACAAAACGCAGTGCAGTTTACCGCATAAGACATCCTCTTGATGTCTACGAAAACGAGCGTACTGACCGCTTTCATTCGCCGTATCTCTCCTTACTGTGAGCGCCATAGCGATAGCGTTGTAGTCCATTCGAACTCCTCATTGGACATCCACAAATTTAGCTCCCGTATGTAGGTAACGAAGAACTTGGGGAGAATCAAGTTGACCACAATTCCAAAATAGTTTTGCGAATTGATGATCCATAGCTGTTTGTGCATTGATTGCTCCACTTAACCATGTGCATCGGTGGTTCCAAGACACACCCCTACTCAAAATAAAGCAGTCCCTCATTACCTCACCTAATTTCCGTTCCATATGCGAAACTAACAAATCGAACTATGTACATCAAGCACAGCCCTAACTCCTGATAATGGAAAAATCTATGATCACATTATTCACTTAATTTTCGACATCTTCAGGTTGGAGCCAGTGATCTGCTCTTAGTGATGTGTGCTCCGTAGTCACACTGGGTGTCACAGGAGGATGTCATTGAAATCTAACTGATGACACATGCTCATTACGCAGATCAAATGGTCATGCTCTATTCCCTGCAAAAAGGTGACTGCGCAGTAGCATGGCAACTTCCACATTTGTTTATGGTGCCGTGGTAAGTTCATTACAACTTATCTCCATTCTAGGTGGCTCGCCAGGTTAAGGTCTGTTTGTGTTTGCCTAGATAGCATGGTAGCTTACGCGCCCCACACGACCTGAGATCGTTCTCACCATGCAACAGTTTCGATTGGTTCCCCGGTGATATAAGTGTGGTGCTCGTCGATCCCACCTATACCACTGGCTATTTATTAATTACCCTCATGCAATGATAGTGGCCCTTACTCACCTCACAATTATCACAGGTGCGTTATCGACACAAGGGCAGTGCATAGTACCAGTTTACCATTCATAACTAAAGTTAATGACGTTCCCCATCTACTTAACTTTTGGGATACACGTGTCACCTGCTCCCCACGCTGTACTTTTACTTAGTATATACTCCGCTTTTCTGTGTCTCCTACACAGGGCCAAGTATGGACGTAAACGAAATGTGCGTTTGGGGTTGAATCAAGTTTCGTTTCCTTATAATACAGCAGGCTCTGAGGCAGCGTTTTGTGCCCCCAAATCATTGGATCTAGGAATCAGTCGTTTCCGCAAACCACGAATTTTTATCCGATAGTATACTGATACAGCCCCAAAGAAGAGATATCTAGGCAACAAAAGGAGTATCCAGCCTCAGTGGCGAATTGCGCCTTCGCCCAATACATGTGTCCTCTTCAGAATACTGAAGACTTCTCAGGGATGTCATTGGCACACACACACACCGGACACTAACAGAGTGATCATCCATGTAAATCACTGCTGGCCCAATTTCCGTACAACCGGTGCCAAGACCAATGCCCAAAACAGGTAACCCAAGGCTCCCAGTTAAACTGAAGAATGCACTTTTACTCCCTTAGAAGCTGTTCACACGAAATCCACTAAAGAACTTGTGTTGAATACACCAAATCTCATGGCCGTCGAAAAACTAACAACTAAATGGTACACGCTACACATCCGTATGACAAAGTGCTATATCTGGATGAGTGATAACTCACTCTTCACACCGTAACACTCTTGCCATTGCAATTCTGTGAATATTATAAAATTGTGCTTTTTATACCATCACATACACTACTTGAACTATTGAAATTCAGCCATTGTGCCGCAATATAGACGCTAAGATATGTGGGAACACAGAGCGAAAAACATTACAGGATAAAAATCATAACCAAAAGAAGCAACACCA